GATTTTTGCAAGTTTCATAGAAACCACTAAATCTGAGGAAGGTTGTATATTCCTTTTCCCTCCACTACTCTCGCTCCCCTTCCCTCCTCTCCTCTCCCTTCTCCTTCTCTCCCTTCCTCTTCCCCTTCTCTCCTCCCCTCCTTTCCCCTTCCCCTCCTTTCCCCTTTCTCTCCTCTCCTCTCCTCTCCTCTCCTCTCCTCTCCTTTCCTCTCCTCTCCTCTCCTCTCCTCTCCTCTCCTCTCCTCTCCTCTCCTCTCCTCTCCCCTCCCTCCCCTCCCCTCCCCTCCCCTCCCCCCCTCCTCCGCTACCCTCCCCTCCCCTCCTCTTTTCTCCTCTCTTCTTTCTCTCCTTCCCTACATTTCTCTCTTGCTCTGAGATAGATAATGTAAAAATCAAAAATTTCAGATGACCCTTTTTTTTGTTTGTTTATTTTGTTTTTGTTTTTTTCCAACTGAGCATGTCCATTGAACATGATTCCTGTCCTCAAAACCCACATGGACTTTAGAGGGGGTGGGGAGGTGGTAAGAGTGAAGGGTAGAGACCAAGACTTCTTGCCTGATTGTAACTTTTAACTCTATAAAGATAGGAACAGGAGTTATCACAGTACAGTCTTCCCCTCTGCAGGTGAGCAAACTGGAATTCACTAAGGACAACTGCTTGGGACAATTCAATTCCTGTCCATGAGGAGACTCCCCCGCCCCCACCATTATGAAATTATAAGAGCTCCAAATGTACTTACTATTCTGTATTCACAAAGCAAAGCTGAGGTTTTATTTCCTATTGAATGTTCTAGGAAAGTGTTTGAGACCAGCTCCGACTGTGTGTTCAGCTGTCTAAGGAAGGGATGTTGGGGTTGGAGACAATGTGAAGCAGGCACCCACTCACACACACTCAGTAGATGAAACAAGATCCAGTGAGCAAACTAGAACAACTACACACATACACACGTACACACACATCTGGTGGATGGAGCAAGGCTTCAACAAGCAGGCTCCCACAACTGTTTCCCCCCCTTAGACTTTGTATACAACCTAAGACAAAATTCTCTATGTAAGAAAAAAAGATTTCCTCATAGCCACAAATTACATGTTCTCTAAAAATAATCACTGTGAAAACATATCCATCAAAACCACATTAAAATAATTACAGAAAAGGTTACAACAGGATTATTGATTACGTATTCTTGTTTTGAAACTCATACCTAACTGAACATTTCCTATCTATCTTTCTGTCTATAAATTCATTGTAACCCCAAACTGATAACTCTTTTGTCACTAATAAACCAAGTTGAAGCAAACCAGTTTATAGTAGTAAGTTTTTTCCCTAGGCTCAGCTGATGACAATTTGTATTTCCCAAGAAACAGATCATCATCTATCTTATGTTTTGTGTTTGAAGCCTTGTTGAGCAAATCATCTTTTCTCTACTCTTGTTCTCATAATAGAATTATTTGCTCTTTGTTCATAACCCTATCTTTTCATAGTGCACACCAAAACTGATGGCCACTTCCCTGGAACATAAGATCCAGGAACTCAGACCCAACTTAGAATAAAATGTTTTCTTTTATCACTAACTTGTCCCAAGCCTATGTTCCTCTTCCAAGGACAACTACATCTTGTAAGGTATGAAAGCTCACAGGACTCCCTCTCTGACCTTTGCAGTCCTTACTGTTCTACAAGGAGGGTCCACATTCCACACTTAATTCTAACTTTATTATCTCTTTTGGGCAAAACAACCTAAACCATCTCCTTAAACTTTATATCTATTACCCTAACTTTCTAAAATTGCTTAAATCAAGTCAGTAATTCTGTAAAATCATTTGGTCATATGAACAATATTATTTTATGAAAGTCTATCTTCACATTGATCTACAGGAAAATTGCCCAGTAGATGGGCTGTCTCCCAAGAAGAGATCACACCAGACTACAGGCAATGAAGGTCTTCCCATGCCCAATCATACTGTGCTAGATATATGAAGAAAGTAGCAATGACAAACATGAGAAACCATAGCAGCAGCAAGAGGCAATACAGTGACGAAGTCCCCGAGGCTGTGCCTCTCAAGGTGTATCCATCATGGCTGTGCAAAATGGTGGACTGTCTTCAGGAAGCTCACCTGCCCCCTGCAGCTCCTCTTGCAAGGAATCCCCCAGTAGAAGGTGTCATTAATTGGTAATTTGTTACAGATGTTTTTTCTGCTTTGCTTTCTTGTTTAGGTAAGCCATAAATTTTCATTAACCACCTCCCACGCACACACACTCAGAACCCCCAGCTTATCTTTGGGTTTAGGACATTTAGTCTTGAGAAATTTTTTATGTCTGTGCTGTATTTGTGGGGGTTTTATCTGTGATTGCTTGTTTTTTTGTTCTGGGATGGTGTGTGTGTGTGTGTATGCATGCACACCAGAATACCTGTGGAGGCCAGAAGACAGCTTACAAGGAGCTCCCTCTTTTCTTCTTTTGTTCTCTCATGTTAGGGATACAACTCAAGTTGTTAGGCGTGGTGACAAATGCCTTTACCCATGAACCATCTCACCATTCTCAGAAATGCCTTTGATTGCATCTGGTTTCTTTGGGGAGTCCTAGCTTTAAGAGGGATGGTTCTTTTTACTGGGTGGAAAATGAAGGTGTATCAGACTGAATGGGGGGCATACAAGACCTTCTAGTCTGAGGAGACTTACCAAGGTGGTTGGACTAGACTCTCCCTTTGAGGTGGATGTGATCTAGCAGTCTCTGAGATGCACACTTTTCAAAGCCTTTATAAATAGACACATACTAAACCCATACAGGACCACTTAGACTTTTCACACTTCTTTCGTAAGACCTTTTTATTTCTAGCTCTGGAGGTCCTCAACATTGGTCTTTCTAGGCTTTGATGGGAGCATTGAGGACACCACTACTCATTTAGATAGTACCAAAGACGTAAGTGTGAAGGATTGATGAAGACTGTTCTAAAGATAAATAACCACAACAGATATGGGCTATGTTCTTAAACACTGCTATTGTCATACTTGTGACAGTAAATGATATCAGGAGATCTTGAATTTGGGTAGAACCATAGGCCAACCACATCAGCAGATGAGCAAAAGATCTGCTCACGAGGAAAGACTATCATAATAGTTTGCTCTCTGTTGATGTGATAAACACCATGGTAAAAAGAAACTTGGGGAAGAAAGGGCTTATTTCATCTGATACTTCCATGTCAACTCCATGATTGAGGGAAGCCAGGACAGGAACTCAGTCTAAAACCTGGAGACAAAGAATTGAAACAGAGACCATAGAGAAATGCTGCTTACTGGCTTGCTCTCCATATTTGTTCAGACTGCTTCCTTCTACAACCAAGGAACGCCTGTCTAGGGGTGACACCACCCACAATGTCTGTTATTTCCACATTAATTATTAAATTAGATGATTTCCAAGCGGCTTGTCTACAGGCCAATATGATAGAGACATTTCCCATTTAAGGTTTCTTCTTCCCAGATGATTCTAGATTGTATCAAACTGACAAAGCAAAGCAAAACAAACATAATTTTGGAACAATCCATTCTAATTTTCAAAAGGATTTTGATTGCTGCAAATATCTTAGTTTGAACTCTATAAATTTTCAGCCTTATGAAATGTTATGTCTCCTCTCCCAACTCTACAGCATTGTATCCCACGAAGCTAAAAGTGTATCTCATGTTCATGCGTCTTTGAGTGTCTGGCTTAATGTTGGGTATATCAGTCAGGGTGTGGTGTATGATTGACTGCATGTGTGTGTTTTCTTCATTCTCCTGCAATGGGCAATAAAGGATAAGTGACTACATAAAGTCACACTGTGTGGAGGCTACACAGTAAGATTCTAGTGTCATTTGCTTGCTGGTCTTTCAGCTTTTACTCATGATGCCAGTAACTGCAGAGATGATTTGGCTGAAATGTGGGTAACTGGTCTCTTGACACAAGGGCAAAAAGACAAACCAAAACCAAAACCAAAACAAAAACAAAACACCAATGAAGAATAAGATCAAAACCCAGACTCTCTCTCAAACTTGTTACTGACTTGACCAGATGTGACATCTATTGAATTTTCAAGACCTCTGCCTGGTCAAATAAATCCTAAAGGTGTTTGTTTGTTTGTTTGTTTCATTTTGGGTATTTTTAAATGTAGTTTTGCCAAGTGGAATGTGCATGTGTGAGGCAGAAAACTTTTACTTTAGATTATCTTTACATAGGCTAATTATTTAATAGCAACCATACCTTCTGCACAAGAGATTATTTTGAGAGATCAAAACAAAAATTTCCCTAAATTATTCAACAAGCATGAGACAAACCAGGTTGTACCTAAAGAATAGATTCTTCCCCCATATGGAGGGTGTTGGTTCAAAAGCTACTAATGTGAAGAAAAACAATTGTACAGATAACTAAAGTCTGTGTATTAGTATTCTAAAACACTTAAAGTGAACCCACAAAATCTTTCTTACAATGACTCAAGAGGCCATTTGGAAACAGGTGAGCTATGGGGGTTTTGGATTCTGTCTTCATTTGTACCAGCCAGAGGCTTGAGTAAGATAATTATCCTCTGAGCATCCTGTCAGTTGGTGGAGGCTGCAAGGGGTACTGTGAGCCTAGTCAGTGCACGAAGAGCTGGTTGCATATACTTAAGTACATGGCATGTGCCAGAATCTTCAAAACCTTGACACAAAAGTTTCAAGAGTAACACTGGCTGCAGAACTGTGCAGTGTCACCCTCAGAACATAGCTGCAGGGAAGTCGGTCTATCTACCTGCTCTCTGTGGACAGCAAGAGACCTACCGCCGAGCAGGAGTTGGGCTGGTTTTTGTTTTGATGATACTTGAAGGTCCGTGGAGATAAGGTCAAAACTGGAAGTTTATTGCATCAAATCTCTAAGACAAACAGTAGAACTGGTGAAGATGGTAGCAGCTATCGCTGAATTACCAGAGCCGGTTTCTGTCAATCAGCAACTGGGTTCCTGTATTGTAACTGATAAGTAAACAGGAAGGTGTTTAGAGATAGGGTGACAACCATATTTGCATAACGCTATTAGAGAAGTCACCTTTCGGAGTTGACAAATTCTGATGGTGGGAAGCCAAAGAAGAAGGATGGCTAGGACCACTGGCTAATGGTGAGTACCTTTGAGGGTTTATTTATTCATTTATTATTTATTTAATCAAAGATGCCTTTATCTCAAAAGGAAAACCCCTTTCCAATACAAACTTAGGTTAAAGATGATAATCACTACAAACTTCGCTTGTGAGAAAAATAGCAATATTAATGAGAATAAAAAACAAAAAACAAGCCACAGAGTAATAAGGTTGAGCTCTTGAACCCTAGCAGATGAGATGGGATTTTGGTCTACTGTGTTGAGAAGGACTAGGGTGAGGTTCTGGAAGGATGTGAAACTTTAGAGCATGCCTCTAGAATGCCCATGGATTCCTGAATCATCCCTGGGAACCAGATCATCCTGGAAATGACATAGTGAAGTGAGAGACTGTGGGATAAGAGGGGAGGGATGTGAGGAGGATGGTGAGAGATGGTGGGGGCGGGGATGTGGGATAATCAGTCCATGTAGGAGTCAGAAATTACTGAGCTCTCCCCCCCAACCCCAAACCCCGCCCTGGTGCCTTCTTTGACACTCAGGTCGACAGTCCACATCTTGTTCTTCTGAAGGTGTGCAGAAGAGTATATACAACGAAATAATACCAGAACTGGGCCTAAAACATTCCCACAGAACATCTGTTTTTCATTGTAGTTTCTTTCAGACATTAAAAGAAAAAAACCAAACAGGAAGTGTGCTCTGTATCTGCCAGACTTTGGGTACACCACTGCCCCAGTCCCCTTCTGAACATCTAGATCTCACCTTGACCATTCTCTATGGATAGTAACTGAGACAGTTCATATTTATACAATCCTGCACACTACCTATGTTCTTTTTCTTGTCCAGTGGGGCATGGGGGCATTGAACTCAGGACCTCATATATGCTGGTCAAGTACTCTATCATGGAGCCATACCCCCAACCTAGTGTTTAACTCCTGATCTTGTATTTATTTGCTTGGACTCTAGGTAGCTTGGTTCTCTTTGTTAAGTCACGGGTTCCTTGTCTAGAAAGCCAGCCAGCATATTGGTACTAACACCAAGCTCAACCGGTGGTTTCTAAACATGAACTAGGTGTAGAATCCTTAGTATTGTGATAAGAGAGAACAAGAAGTGCTGTCATAGTTCATCTCTGTTGCGTTTCCCTTTCCTGCTCTGAGCACGTTCTTCTATTTGGTCAGCTATCTGGGTGCTGGAGCTGCTAATTTGAAAGGGACAGATCTTCCAGAGGGTATTGGAGTTCTCCCTATTTCTAATTAAGTTGTTGAGGAGAAGAATTTGGTCTTAAGGCATTTTCCTACCTGGTCCCTACATATTTGTGGATCCATAGAGCAACTGAATCTATAGGAAGAGTGATGGGCAGGAAGGGCGTGTCCCTGGTTTTAAGAGCCCTAATGCTAAAAACAAATTTTATTAACCACACTCTAGTACAAACTAGTGCGTGGATGGGTTCTGGTTCTTGCAAACATTTACATGTTTACCTGCTGTGTTTTTATTCATTCATTCATTGGTTGCTTGGTTGGTTCCTTTGCTCATTCATTCCTTCTTTACCTCCTTCCTTTTCTCCCTCCTTCCTTTTTTCCCTCCCTCCCTCCCTCCCTCCCTCCCTCCCTCCCTCCCTCTCTCTGTATCCTTTTTTTCTTTCCTTTTTGAGACAGAGCCTTGCTATGTAGCCCTAGCTGGCCTTGAACAAGTCAACCTCCTGCCTTAGCCTCTCAAGTACTAATACTACTTCCTTTTCTCTTTCTGAATATTCATATTCTATGCAGTGGGGATGTAGTTCAGTGGTCAGCCCCATACTTAGCACATGGAAAGACCCGCTCAACTTCCTGCATCCCCATATAAATCCAATCCAAATGCAATCTTTTCTTTTTCTGTTTATCTTGTTGATTTTTCCCCCTAACTAACTGTAAGAGGGCAGGTTTTCAAAGCAAATGTACTTTCCTAAGTGCCAGTGAGCTGTCTATTCTCCTCAATTCTTTCCCTTGCCTCATGAAGAAAGTATATTTCCTGCCTCCACATTTACTTCTATCTTTCATCTCAGTGTCTTTAAAAATCATTTTGTCATGCGGAATATTCTAGAACCTACATCAAGAATACAGACCAGTGCCTAAAATCTGCTTTGGTTTTCATCCACCTAGTGTGAAAGTGCTCAGGACTCAGGAGACCTGATGATGGTCTGATGTGCTCTTACGTCTTCACCTTTCCTTGCTTCACTGGACTGTAGGATCTCTCTGACTCTCAGACCTGGTACATCCTTCTTTAGCAGGGCTCCAGGCCCTCTTGCCTGAGCTGTTTTTCTGCAAGCCATCATCCTAGGTCCCCTTCTCAGACCATCTGTTGTAAAATTACCCTCTTATACCTGTCCACATTATATTTCTCTTTAGATCATGTATCGTGATTCAAATCTCTTATAAATACCTCTTACTTACTTATGTTGTCTTTTTCTTTTAAGGTACAAAGTTTATAACATAAAGTAGTTTTATATCCCTTAGTTCTGTCTGGTACTTTCCTATATCTTCAATGTTTGAAGCAATGACCTGTGTCTGACCCCCATAGCACTCTGAGGTTCAACATGTTGCAATTGAAAGCCTGATTGTTGCAGAGTTGGTATATTTCACTCTACAAAATGCTAAGGCCTGGAAATCCTTACCAATGAGTCACTAGTCCATTTCAGTCCTCTGAGTACTCCCCATGACCTTTCCTTGGGAACCCCTCAAAATCCAGACACTTGACCTGGCTTTCTTCCAATGTCTGTTATCACTTCCCACCCCCTTACTATCTTATAAAGAGCATTTCCGCATAGCTTACTTTAAATGTGTGGAGTCATTAAAAGCGAATGCTTATTTCCATTAGAGTGGGTCTTCCCACCTCAATTAACCCAATAGGAACCGTCCTGGTTGTACCGAAGGGGCTCTCTCTTAGCTGATTCTAGCTCTTCTAAAGTTGGCAGTCAGTATGAGCCACAACAGTGCTGAGGGTTATCAACGTGACTTGAGAAGGTAGCATGGTGGTAGCAGATAATAATACAAATACAAGATCTTGCAAGTCCAGAGTCCGTAAGTCTGGCAGGCTTAAACATGCAGAGTTGATAGGGTCATCCTGTAACTGATCCTAAAGAGGTGCGAAACTGAGGCAGGACTTCTATCACAACAATGGCACAGTGTACTCTCTAGAAGTTCCATCTTTCCATCATTCTGGCTCATCAGTGCTTCTGCTGTGGACCTGGTAAATATTTTTAAGGTCATCTTGACTTTCATCTAAGAAACTGGAAATAAATCTGGCTGACTGCTTTAAATTTTACGTAGAAAACTGAAAAATAAATGGTAAAGAAAAACTTACCCAAAGGTTTGAAGAGGAAAAATCTGGGATAGAGGAGGAGGCAAGATGGCTTAGAAGGTAAGGGCACTTTTACAAACCTAACAGCCCAAGTTCAATTCCCTGTCCCCACATAAAGGTGGAGGAAGTAAATTGATTCCATACAAGTTATCCTTTGATTAACTCATGTGTGCTATGACATATACAATAATAATGATAATCAGTCAAAAACAGGAATCAAGAGAATTCTTCCTAGAACAATTTGTTCTTGGAATTTTTATTAAGCATCATCTTTTCCTCCAGGGATCATTGTAAGGAGTAATAAAAATGTATCTTCAATCACATATAGAGCTTTCTCCTGCTGTGATAAACCCCAGAGCTGACTTTAGTACTGTGATCTTCTGTCATATGTGTAGAAGGAAGTCTCAAGTCAAGGAATGGTTGAATACTGTTTGAGTGAGATTTGATGCTGTCTCTGTCCACTAAGCCACAGCCAGCAGAGGCTACATATCTTCTTCCCAGGAAACAGACCTTTGTCTCTTTCCAGTGAACCATGCACGCAGCTTCTAGTTTCCATTCCCAGAATCTGTAATCCCCACTGCTCAACATCACGTAAAGATAGTACATACTTTTCTGTATTTGGTGTCTTTTGCTTGGGATATTTTGGGGAAGAACTTGCTTTTTAACTTTGAATTAATTCCATATTTTTAGAACATGCTGTCTTTGAGAGTCATTAAGTCATCGTGTCCTCAAACCAGTAATTCCTTCCTTTTATCACTGACTATTGATGCCTTTTCTTTACTGATTCTGTTGATAGGCTTCTGAGTCATTTTCAGTTTCAGTATTACGGGTGTGACTTCTTTGTGGACATGTGATTTAATTCTCTAGGAGTTAAAGTACTGAGAAATGTTGCAGACTTTTTTTTTTTTTTTAGTCATACTATCTTGTTCATCTAATAAGCAAAATATGTATACTTTACACATGAAGCCCAATAAGTTTCCACAAATGTGTAGACTATGATCTTCACCTCAATTGTGATGTCCCCTGTACTTGTCACACACACCTTGACAGATAATCACCCATGCTCATCTTCCACATTGCCTAGTTCCTTGTGGCTTTGAAAGACAAAATCTATGGGTTGCACAACGTAGATTCTTTAAAGTGTGACGTCTTTCTTTCAGTAAACATTTCTTGGATTAACTCTCGTCACACACATTGGTGCTTTATTCTCTTTTATTGCTGAGCAGGGTTCTCTGAGCACAGGTGGTTGTTCATGTACTTACTGGTGGGTGTTGTTGCATGTCCCGTGTTTCTTCTGTAAGTGAAGACACTGTGGGCACTCACAGAGTACTTGTTTGTGTGCATACATTATGATCTCTGTCAGGCTAATACACAGGGGAATTCCTGGCTCCTACAGCAAATGCTTAATCAGAAATGACTGTAGTGTGATGCAGCCATGGTGTCAGTTGAGGCTGTCCAGGTAACATACGTGTAGCATCTGAGAACTGGCACTGCACATGGCCTTCCAATACTTGGTATTGCCATTATATTTTAAAAATTGGATGTGAAATTGAGTTGTATAAATTTAATTATATTAATGTCTGTAATGATTGATAATGCTGAATATTATGAGTTTACTGTTGAATGATGATCTTTTCTTTCGTTAAATTTCACTTTATTTATCTTTTCCTCATTTTCGAATTACCTGCTTC